CGTAGGGAAAGTGGATCACTAGGTAGGGAAGGAGGGAAGGGAGCCGGAACCCGGAAGTGCGCCGTAAACACAGAGAGGAAAGAGAGAAGGGGTTTCCAAGACACGGCAGACTCGAAACGAAACACGGGATACGCGAAAAACCGGACAACATGACACATACAAACCGAAAGGATACAGACCTATAACTTAATATTCAGGAGACGGGGGCGAGCGGCGTTAGGGAAGGGCGAGGCGACCGTCACAGTGATTCACAAAAAACCGGCAGAACTTCCATAAAGCAGTTGTTTTGCTGTGCTACGACCATTTATGACAGCTGCGTTTCCGGCACGGATCCAAACTAGCTTCGCAACCTCTGTTTTCTTCCGACGAAGAATAAAAAATATCGAACGTTTTATCGAACACATTTTTTATTGATATCGATCACGTGTCTATCGCGATACATATCGTAATCGTTTTATCGCCCAGCCCTAGTTGAAACACAATGAGTTCAGGAAAGTATGGTTTAATTTCCGGTTCTGGGTGGATCTGCTGGTAGTTGAGAGATTTTGGTAAAGCCGATTTAGCAAACAGCATGGTAACCTCTGTTATGTACATACCTGTGTATGTTATCTGTCTGTCTTTCTGTCCGTACGTACGTCCATCCAGGTCTATTCATTTATTCATTCTTAGCCTTTGCATATAACGTAGCTTTCATCATGAACACAGCCCTAGCTGCTTTCATGTCATGAAAATTAACTAATTAACGGTTGAGGTGTGGTCCAGTTATTCTAGATGTGAGCACATCGAGGACACACATTGTTAATGGATGTGAGCACAGGGAGGACACACGTCGTTAATGGATGTGAGCACAGGGAGGACACGCGTCGTTAATGGATGTGAGCACAGGGAGGACACATTGTTAATGGATGTGAGCACAGGGAGGACACGCGTCCTTAATGGATGTGAGCACAGTGAGGACACGCGTCCTTAATGGATGTGAGCACAGTGAGGACACGCGTCCTTAATGGATGTGAATACAGGGAGGACCCCCGTCCTTAATGGATGTGAATACAGGGAGGACCCACGTTATTAATGGATGTGAGCACAGGGAGGACACGCGTCGTTAATGGATGTGAGCACAGGGAGGATACACGCGTCGTTAATGGATGTGAGCACAGTGAGGACACGCGCCGTTAATGGATGTGAGCACAGGGAGGACACGCGCCGTTAATGGTTGTGAGCACATGCTTCTCCTGCATGACCTTAAATGGTCTGTTCCATAAATGGGCCCCGTTAAGTGTCCCTGAAGTGAGTATCTAGGAGATAGAGCTGGGACAGGCATGAGCGCCCCTCCACTCTGTGTGTCATTTTATTAAATATTATCCTTGGGAATCTCGGCCTCCTCCTGAAGTTGGAGCTTGCCAGCTGAAATTGAAAGTGACCAAGTCTCAGAAGGTCACCCTCCCGTTTGAATCTCCTCTCCCTTAATAACCTGTCCGGAGTCTCCCGGAGTCGAAGCGTAGCGCACTTCATGCATTATCGATAGTGTGACAGAATTAAAGTGGCTGGATGTTATTTAGTTTTAATATTATTTAATAAGGGCAGTTCGGTACAGTGGCCACTTTGCCCCTGAAGCAGTGCAGTCCCTTTGATAGCTAGTACAGACTTTATTCACTATCTGCCAATGCAAGCATGAACGGGAACGAAACGAGTTGGATTAAGCTAGTTAAAATGATTAGCGCTCAATTTAGTATCTGAATAAAAGTAATCTTAATACAAGAAAATTTTAATTTCCAGCTAGGCTTTAGTTAACATGAAAGCAGCCTCATGCATAGAATATTAAGGGAAATGGACTGAAAACACAAAATCCGTTTAATTTTGGAATCACTTTCTCACTAGAGAGAATGGACTATTCTGCTATTTTTTTCCCTTGAAGGGAATTAGATCAGCTGTTTACAAAACAATTGTTTTTACCTCCCTGATAATGCGACAGATTCAGATCAACCATGGTGTGCGATGTGACGATGTCCTGGTCGAAGGCAGGCTCTAGTGCTGACGGCACACAGTTTGAATGTCCTGTCATGGTCTGTCACACTTTAGGCACAGAAACCTCTGCGGTAGAGTGGCACAGCACAGCGTGACAGTGGGGAAAAGGACATTAGTTCTGTTTGAAGGATAGAGATGCGTTCAAATTACAGACCTAAGCCGTCACAAATATTCGGTCCTCACAGCGTGACTAGAGACTGTATCCGAGGATGCAAGTGCAAATTGCTGCTCTACTGATACTGTTTATCCACCATGGACACTCAGATCCGCTCCCTTTTCCCCAGGATGCTGCTGCTAATGCTGTTTTTAAGGGTTTATAAAAAACACATGGAAATAAAA